GATGTCTCCTATTAAATGGAAATGTGGTCAGGTGTGGTGGCTTAGGTGGGAGTATTGCTTGAGGCCAGAAGTTTAACACCAGCCTGGGCAACATAGCAAGGCCTAGTCTTCACAAAAAATTTTTCAAAAATTAGCCAGGCATGGTGGCATGCAACTATAGTCCTACCTACTCAGGAGCCTGAGGCAAGAGGATCACTTGAGCATAGGAGTTCAAGACTGCAATGGCTGTGACCACTGCACTCCAGCCTGGGCATCAGAGCAAACCCTGTCTCAAAAAAAAAAGAAAAAAAGAAAAGAAATGCCATCATCCAACATGAGCTACCTTACCACCGTTTCTCTTCTCTCCTTCACGGTATTTGCCTCTACACCACCCGCCCCCCAACCCCGCTGCCTTTTGTTTTTTTTTTTGGAGACAGGGTCTCACTCTGTCACCCAGGCTGGAGTGCAGTGGTGTGATCATAGCTCACTGTAGCCTCAAACTCCTGGGCTCAAGTGATCCTCCTGCCTCAGTGTCCTGAGTAGCTGGGATTACAGGTGTGTGCCACCATGCCTAGCTAATTTTATTTTTTGTAGAGACAGGGTCTCTCTATGTTGCCTAGGCTGGTCTCAAACTCCTGGCTCAAACAGTCCTGCCTTGGCCTCCCAAAGTGCTGGGATTGCAGGCCTGAGCACCCCGCGCAGCGTGTACTCATTGTTTTTTATTTCCTCCTCTCATAAAGAAAAGCTGGTTGTTTTTTCAAAACTACTCTTCCACCTGTGTTCACAGCTAAATCTTACCCTACAGGATATTCTTTTCTCCTTTATGTATAAAGTGCTTATGTAGTGACTGATGTTTTCAAACGAACTGTTCAATTACTTGAATTCTTTGGATTAGGCAGGCATAATTTAAAGAAGTGCTGATATTCCTTTCTCCTTATTCCAGAGATTAAGGTTGACTTTTCTCCTTTTACAGATTCTGAAATATTTAAAAATCAGAATAAGTGATTTCATTGTCTGCTAGGTCTGTGGATATGTGTATATGTGTGTGTGTTTTTTCATTGAACCTACAGTAACCAAGATACCTGCTGAGGATGATGCGTTGGTACGGAATGTTGATGGAATAGGTGATCAGGACGTTACCAAATCTGAAAATGGAAATCATCAGGATAGTACCCTCAAAGAGGATGTGCCAGTACACGGAAAGGATGCCATAAAGGAAGTTAAAGCAGAGCAGAATAATGAACCATGTACCAGCTCTAGTTCTGAATCTGATCTCCAGGTAATATATGAAGTACAAGCCATAAAGAAATGAAACTTAAGCAAAATTAATTCCATAAGCTCTGTAGCTTTGGATTTCAGTTGTATCCTTTGCGTAAATAAATCTGTTTACAAAATCTAAACTACGAAAACTATGATAGTTTAAAAAACACACTTCAGAACTTAATTTTATTTCAGACAGTGTTTAAGAATCAAAGCCTCAACACGGAGTCACAATCAGGCTGCAAACTTCTGGAGCTTAAGGCTAAGCAGTTCATAAAGAAAGACACTGCCACCTACTGGCCCCTGAACTGGCGTAGCAAGTTATGTACCTGCCAAGACTGTATGGTAAATATCTTATTAAGTTCAGTCTTAGTGTGTTTTATGTACTGATGCCCAAAATAAGAACATCTGAAAAATATATTTATGGAATTAGTATGGGAGTGTAGGAGACTTTCAAAAATTTTATGCTAAGCAAATTTATGAAACACTACTTGCAATCTGATTGATTGTATAAGAAAATAATTACACAATAGTTTTTACTTATCTTTTTTTTTTTTTTTTGAGAGACACAGTCTCACTCTGTCTCCTGGGCTAGAGTATAGTGGCATCATTGTAGCTCACTGCACCCTCAAACTCCTGGGCTCAAGTGATTCTCCTGCCTCAGCCTCCCTAGTAGCTGGGACTACAGGTGTGAGCCACCATACCCAGCTAATTTTTCTATTTTTTTGTAGAGATGGAGTCTCATTCTTGCTCAGGCTGGTCTTGAACTCCTGACCTCAAGTAAACCTCCCACTTCAGCCTCCCAAAGTGCTAGTATTATAGACATGAGCCACTTGCGCCCAGCCACTTATCTTAATTTTAGTAGAAAATAGCAATCTTCTACTTACCATTTTTATATCATAGAGTTGCTTGGAAACATAAATTGCTTGAAAGTTACAGTAAATCAGTGGTTTTAAAATAAAGAGCTCATAGATCATATATCTACTAAAAGTTGGGAGATTTCTGAAAGAAACTGGGGCAAAAAGAATAAGTCTTTCTGGAGGGTGGAAGGGGGAGGAGGGGTAAAAACTTACCTATCGGATACAATGAACACTACTATGGGGATGGGCACGCTAACAGCCCCAAATTAAGCATTATACAAGGTATCCAGGTAACAAAGACATTTGTACCTCCTTAATATTTTGAAATTAAAAGAAGTTCTTCAAGCAACTCTGCTAAGAGGCTTTGATTTTTCTAGGTGTTAATCTAAAAAAATTAGAATTTTAGTAATTCTCATGAAGTTGACTTTCTGAGAATGATAATACAGTTCTAATGGGGAAACTGGTTTATTTTTTAAAGAAAATGTATGGAGATCTAGATGTCCTGTTCCTGACAGATGAATATGACACAGTTCTGGCTTATGAAAACAAAGGCAAGATTGACCAGGCAACTGATAGGAGGGACCCTCTAATGGATACCCTTAACAGCATGAATAGAGTCCAACAAGTCGAACTTATTTGTGGTAAGTACTGTTAGTGGAAATTCATAAAGTTTCCTTCACTATGTAAAAAAAAATGTATAAGGAGGGCAAGAAATACCTATATATTTAATTTAATACAAAGAAAATTAAAATTTTGAATTGTATAGTAGAACCCAACTACAGATGCTTGATTTTCATATTGCTGGTATTCAGCTACTATTACCATTGAATCAGAATTACATGCTAGAATAATTACATGCTTGAGAAACCACAACTTGTGCTGTTTTGATTAAGTGTAGATGTATGGATGAAGAATGATAGAAAAATTTTCCATCCATTGAAATAATTTTCCTTGAGCACTACGTGTCATCTTTTTGAGCAAAGCATGTCATCTTTTTGACAGTTCTTGAGGTTGCTTCAGCGGTTCACAGGAAACCACTAGAGGGGAAAATATCTCCTAACCCTTAATTGTAGGCTTTTACGTTTTCCCTGCCAGCATGCCCAACTTATTTCCATGATTTCTATCCCAGCCGGTTCCACTCCCATGCCACCACCTTTGTATTTCTTTTATGACATTTCTTTGTATTTCATTTCTGTCTTTTATTTGTAACTTTGATTCATTTCCATTTCCCTTTATTAGACTAAAAGCTTTTTGAGGACGGAAGTTGCGTCTAAAAGATTTTGTAGTCCTTAAGATGCTCGTCCGTAGTATAAACTGTTGAGTGAATGAGTTTTAAAATTAATGTTTAATGAGTTCAAGCTTATTTCAACTACTATAATTCCAGAGAAATAGAAAGCCCTTTAAAAAAATCTTAGCTAATCTTTATGGGAGTAAGGAAATCTCTGCTTTTTGTGGGTTTTTTATTTTATTTTTATTTTTTAAACTTGGGTACAATGAACATTATTCTGGTGATGGGCATACTAAAAGCCCAGACTTAAGCATTAAACAAGGTGTCCATGTAACAAAAACATTTGTACCCCCCTAATATTTTGAAATAAAAAAAAAAAGAAAAAGGGTCCCAGCTATCAACATGGAGAAAGTCCAGAGAAATTGGGAACAAGTTTCTATGCAGGTTTCACTTAAGAAAAATTTGGTTTAAACGACAGTATTAACATACTGAAATGTCAATGGCAAAGGAATATTTTGTTTTGAAAACAAATAGCTTATCTTAATTTTAAGTACCTTTGTGGTTTTGATTTAGAATACAATGACTTGAAGACTGAACTTAAAGACTATCTCAAGAGATTTGCTGATGAAGGCACGGTATGTTGAGTTAAAGAATTTTAATCATAGCCCTGTAAATTTTGAATAAACTGTTTATTTGCTTTGATGATAAAAAAAGTGACTGTGCAACTTAAATGTGGCACTTGAGAGTTTCCTGCAGAGACTGCTTATAGGGGTATTGGCAGGCTAAGGGAAAATCATTAACGGGTAGTGAATCACCAAGGGTCAAGGTGGGAGTCCTTACCAACTCTAGCTGGGCCAGGAGGAATGAGGGTTGGAGTTGGAGCAGTCCCACAAGATCTGGAGAGAGTAGTTGTAGCTTAGAAGATTGGACGGAATCAGGATACTGATTCTGCTGACCTGGACCTTGAAGCATGGATTCTTGGGAGGGTAAGGGAGAAACAGCTGGGCAGGAAACATTAGAACTAGACCTATTTTCTGCGATTTTGAGTTCCATAGTTTAGAGTAGAAGAACTTTATCATTGGGGCTAAAAAATTTCTCTCGCTACTAGTAGAAGAGTCTATCCTTTAAAAGCTGACTCTAAAATGTGTAACGTCTAAGATAGGCTTCCAGATAAATTTACAAATACCTGTACTTCCCACTCCTTTCCTATTCATATGTTTGTGATGGAATTTTTTTTTTTTCTAAAATATTTTTCTATCTTCCAAAGGCAGATGCAAAACAAGATTCAACTTTTCTCTTCATGGCCTAAGACTGTCCTTATAAAGAGGAAATGTTTTGCTCTGCTTATAGCCAGATATGGGTCTAAGGGATACCCAAGAAGTTCCCCGAGACTTGCTTTCTTGGAAGAAATCTCTGCCAGGGTACTTTAGGTCATTTTCTTCTTTCTCATCAATATGGCAGGAACATTCAGCTGCTCAGATTTCTGGACAAGGTCACAGTGCTGCCTTTCTGCAAAGTGAATGGTAGACAGAGGCTAAAAGAGCCTTCTCCTAAATGGTTTTCTCGTTTTTTAGAGAATGTTCTTCACTATCATTGTGAACGTTTGCTACTTCCCCACCATTCTTAAACTATAGTTATTCTTGTACCTGCCGTAAAGGCTCTTCTTGGGTTTATGTAGACTCAAGCTTCTTTCTTCTTAGAACTAAGAATGTTCGTGGGTGTAATGGAGGATTTTGCCTCACTGTTTAACCTCTGCCCTATTAATGGACATTTGAGGTGTTTCAAATAGTGTCCAAGCACATGCTCTTGCCCCAGGGCCTGTGTCTCTGTTCTTATGCAGTTGGTGGTTACAGTGCTATTTATTAATTTTATCTTACATATACTTAAAATCACATAAAAAATTAGATATGTTGTCTTTCTTCATTTAGTTTTGAGACTTTTATTCAAAATGGTTAACGGAAAAAAAAAATCCTGTAAAATAATTTCACAGAAGTTTTTCTGAGCCAATATGAGTGACAATGGCCTGAGGATCCATAAACCCTGGAAGCCTGAGGAGTCCCGAGGCAGCCAGGTTGCAGTCTGTGTTTACATTTCAGGGAGACAGGAATTGTAGGTAAAATCATAAATCAATAAATGGAAGGCATACAGTGGTTTGGCCTGAAAAGGTGGGGCATCTTGAAGTGGGGGCTTACCAGTTACAGGTGGGTTCAGAGATTCTCTGATTTGAATTTGGTTAAAGAAATAAAGCTTTGTGTAAAGACTGGGAATCGGTAGAGAAGGATGCTTAAGTTAAGGTAATGGGGTCTGCTATCTGCCATGTGATGTTATACCAGGCAGGTTGGAAAGTAAGCCACATTATGCTGGCTGAATTTAAAAAAAAAGTTTAAGGAGATTTTATGGTTTGTAAGGCATGACTTAACCTTTGCCTTGCCTGGGCTTCGGTGCTGTTTGCAATTAGTTTAAACTCCAAAGGGAGGTGGTATGAGGAGGTATGTTTGACCTCCCTCCCCATCATGCCTGAGAACTCAGTTATAAGTTTTTCTGGGGTCCCTTTGCCCAAGAGGGGGTCCATTCAATTGGTGGGGGGCTTAGGATTTTATTTTTAGTTTACAAACTCTTTATATGCATCTTCAAGCCCCTGGACTTTGTTATTACTGGAGCCACTCTTTATGAGTCTTTGTGAAGAGAATGTTTTTATCTTATGGGATGATGTAAAAGGATAGCAAAATATGGTTTTTTTTAATTGTTTAATCCATGACATTACTAACTAGATCTTTACAAAAAAACAAATAAAACCTTAAATTGCCTTAAGGCTTGTCTACTCTGGTTGTATTTGTCCACAGGGCATAATGTAAATAAGTTTTAGATGTTCTCAGATGATGGACTACCTTTTATTTAATATGTGTATCTGATCATACAAAAAAAAACTTAGAAACTACAAATTTTCTGAAGCAAACCAATAAAATGATTTATTACTGAACTCAAGTGTTTATTCATTAGCATTTCTACTCTGCATATTGGCTGTGACCATTTGAGGACATCTGGAAACCAAAACTTGCACACTCTAATTTGTGTGTTGTTGGGTCTTCTCCCACAATACCTTTGCCAGAGACATTATTTCCTTTTACTGGCTTTTGGTGGTTAATATTTGTAACCTGAGGTAGGGACAGATCCTTCATTTTGGAACTGTCAAGTGTCATATTCATTAGCATTTTATAAGTGGAAACTCCCAAGCTGTTTAGCAAAGGACATTAGAGCTTTGAGCTGCAGGTATTTCAGGATGCATTAGCCATCGAGATCTTGAATCTGTTAGGGTCCTAATTCCTTACGGGTTTACCAGCAGTTTTACTCTTGGTGCTTGTAAAACTGATGCAGCAGCTACTGGTCTGTAGCAGAGTACAGACAAAATGTTAACATTCTTTCGCTTAGAGGATTACTAAGTATCTTACCCCATGAAAATTATTGCAAGTTAGTACTGCCATTTGAGTAGGTTTGTAGCACTTACTCCTGGGGACCAAGAGCAGGAGGTTTTCACTTTATACACCTTTCTTACTTTCTCTTTCTCTCTCCCCTTTTGCTCACAGGCATTCACATGCTCTCTTTCTCTTTTTTTTCCTTTGAGACACAGTCTCACTCCGTCACCCTGGCTAGAGTGCAGTGGCATCACCACAGCTCACTGCAACCTGAAACTCCTAGGCTCAAGTGATTCTTCTGCCTCAGCCTCTGGAGTAGCTGGGACTGCAGGCACAGGCCACCACACCTGGCTAATTTTTTAAAATTTTTTGTAGAGACAGAGTCTTGCTATGACGGGATCTCATTCTTGCTCAGGCTGGTCTCGAACTCCTGGCCTCAAGCAGTCCTCCCGCCCTGGCCTCCCAGAGTACCAGGATTACAGGCGTGAGCCACTGTGCCCGGCCCGCATGCTTGCTTTCCTTTTCCTTCATTCTCCCTGCCCCACCTGTCTTCCTTCCTAACAATAAGCATGTGTTACCTTTGTAATTAAAACATAAATTAACAAACCTGTCTCTTGTCATGGCTGGTAGACAGCTTTCCATCTGATCAACTGGCATAGACTCACTTTTGGGGTGAGCAGAGACTCCTGGGTTGTCCCAGTTTGCTTTTTTAATCCATATTTTCCCTGTGCCTTATTTTCTTATTTTTAATTTTGCTACTATCGTAAACATCTTTGTATGATGCTCTAAATCCTTTTTCTAATAAAATAGAAGGCAATTTTTTCTCTTTTTTTTTAGAGATGGTTTCACTCTGTCACTCAGGCTGGAATACAGTGGTATGATCACAGCTTACTGCAGCCTGAACTCTTGGGCTCAAGGGATCCTTCTGCCTCAGTCTCCCAAGCAGCTGGGACTACAGGCACATGCCACTATACCCGGCCAATATTTTAAATTTTTTGTACAGACAAAGTCTTGCTATGTTGCTCAGGCTGGTCTTGAACTCTTGGCCTCAAGCAATCCTCCTGACTTGGCCTCCTAAAGTGCTAGGATTACAGGCACGCCTGGCCAATTTGTCATTTTTGTTGCATAAAAGAGATTTATTAAAAGTAGTGCTTGTAATTTTTTTCCTTTTTCTGTTTACATAGCAAACATCTTTAATTTTATATACCTCAAGAAAAAAAGGTATTTACTTTTTCCCAAAGATGAATAGGGAAAAGTTTTGTTTTTTTTTTTTTTTAACCTCCTCTGCTGTTGGTAAAGAAGAAAGCACAAATCGCAAAGGAAAACAAACTTTTTTCTGTGAGTGCTTTTGCAGAGTTGGAGCACATTTCAGAAAGACAGCTGTGGTAAGGAGCATGAGCGGTGGGCTGAGGAGACCTTTGGAGTTCTCTGTGCTGGCCCTGCCACTCTTCTTTTTAGCTAATATTTACTGGGAACGTACTGCATGCCAGGCATTATAGCTCATCTGATCTTCAAATGCCCCTTTTAGATAGGTGCTGCTTTTATCCCATTTTGTATGGGGAAACTGAGGTAGGTGGTGGAACCTAAGCTTTGGACTGTTCTACCTAGCTGTTTGACTCTGAACAGGTCAGCCCCTGTGAGCCTCGAGGAACCCTTTTATACCACGGAGACAGTGTAACTAACTACACATTAAATTCTTTCCAGCAGTATCGTTTGACTTGTTTATGAATGCTGTGACCTTTTATCGCTGTAACTCCGTTCCCTTTCCTAATCTTTGCTTTGCTTTCAACAGGTTGTTAAGAGAGAGGACATTCAGCAGTTCTTTGAAGAATTTCAGTCAAAAAAGAGAAGAAGAGTGGACGGGATGCAGTATTACTGCAGCTAGAGTGGAGCGCGGAGCCTCCTCCCTCGGGCCAACGAAAATGCCACTTCCTAGTCGAGGAATAAAAGAGGCATATTTCGCATTCAGTCCCCTCTCCGTCCTCTCTTCGGAGAGGCCTCCTCCTCTGGCCTCGAGCTCCCTCCCTTCTCCTTAGCCGCAGTCGCCACAGTTCCATGCTGATTTCACGCCCAGCATCCTTTACGACTCAGCTAAATGCAACTCATTCCACAGACTTCAGCCCCCACCCCAGTACACACAGGGTTATTTGCTTATATATTTTAAGATGTTTGATTTGAGAAAGCAAATTGGTTTTTTTTTTTAATGATTTGTTCTTTAACTCCCAAATACTTTGCCACAGAGCTGTTGCCTGCCAGGCCCTCCTCTGTAGGCATCACAAGGTACTCTTCCTGTCAGCTGGAACCTCCACAGGTCCCTCACGAGCCCTGTGATCGTGCTGCCTTGGCTCAAAGCTTCCTCGGGCCCGTCTGCTCCTCCCACGTGCCTGCTCTCTGGGGTTTGGTCATGGCTTAGAAGGGATCTCGGAACTTGGTTTCTCTGGGCCCACGGCCAGAGCAGCCAAGACCGATGGTTTTCTAGCCTGATGTCCCTCACAGGCAGGGAGATTGGCTGATGACAGGGTTGAGGAAGCAAACCTTTGTTGCAGATTTTACTAATAAATTTAAAGTGAAATTTTCACTCATGATTCTACTGGCACTAGAATACTAGAATTTCAGTACTGTAGCGCTCCCAGGGCTTCCTGGATAAAATCTGCCAGTATACTAGTCCCTTTTCTGCTGCCTAGAAAACAGACCGGGTATCACCCCTGTGAAATCTTGGTGGTTTACAAAGTCCTCTGGATTTCTTTATATTATCAGGGATATTCATAAGCATATATTAAAAATGGACCTATTTTGATATTGTTCTATTATGAAAATGTTACTAGAGCCCCAGTAGATTATTATTTTTCCCTTTGAATCTGTGCTGAAGAAAAAAGATACTGACTTAGCTTACTTGATGAGCAGGGCAGTGAGGGCCCTGTCTTGGAGGAGACAGATTCTGTGGAAGAGATTCCAAACAAGGCCCTCAGCTGCACGAGTGAGGTTTGTGTGTATAAAGGTTAGTGTCCACAGCTGGTCCCTGGTGACCGTGAGATCTTCTTTTGAAGATCCTCATGAAGTGTTGTATAAAACCCCGTATCTGAGGGGAAGTCCTTTCAGTTGATCTGAAATCTCTTTAAAACCTCTCAGTCTATGTGGAAAACACCTTTTGATAAATACAGAGGCCTCAGTTGCTCTTTCCCTCTGGAGGAACAAGGCCTTTCCTGACCGTAGGTGACATACTTGAGGTGTGTTACCGAAAGCATTTTAGGCTTTGGAGCCGCGCATGTATATTACTGTTCTTTTGTGTCCAGCAGTTGTGTATCCGAGTGCCCACCAATCCCTAGACAAGGTGAACTTGGCCTATAAAAAGTCAAGGCCTCAAAGAAATGGTACAACCCATGTTTTCTGGCGTTCAGCCTCTTCGAGATCCCCGTGAAGAGCGGTGTGTGGCGCTGGAAGGGCTCGTGGCTGCAGGAGATGCCCATGTGCCCTGAGCCAGCCTTGTGGGGAGGACTCGGCTGAAAGGCTCAGGGTGTCTTTGAGGCTGTTTGCAGTCAGCAGCTTGGGAACGCTTCCAGGTCGGAGTGTGTGTTGAACCCCTTCTGCAGCGCTGCACTGTTCGTGTACCATCATGTCCTGAAAGTTTATATTTTCTCAAATGTCTGATTTAACTACCAGAAAGTTCCTCACTTCCTATCACAGGTCAGGACCAAGTCTCAGAGGTGATGTGTTTCGTGCAGCACAATAGTCCCAATCACCCCAGTGCCGAAGGGCTTGTTTTATGAAAGGTACTGTTCCTTCTTTCACATTAACCAGAAAACCTCTTTTTTTACCTGTTGTTCACAACTAGTTTTCTTATGACTATATTGGACCGTCTCTGCTTGTAGAGACTGATTTTGGCCAACATGTGGCAGTTGATATTAATGCATGTTTTATGCAAAACAAAAATATGATGTTAGTTGCTTGTAAGGAATTCTGGCATTGTATGTGCATTTTTGTAGAAATTGTTACTGGACTTATAATTACATACTTAACTCCAATCAGGTTTCTGTAAAATTTCAATAAAACCAATTCAAAATAGTTGCTTTTCAGATTGTTTTTAGTCACATTTAAGTCTACACAGCCTCCCCCTGCAGGTCATAAGACAATGAATATAGCCGGCCACAGTGGCGTGCACCTGTCGTCCCAGCTACTTGGGAGGCCGAGGCGGGAGAATCGCTTGAGCCCAGAAGTGCGAGGCTGCGGTGCGCCTTCATCATGCCTATGAGTAGCCACAGCTGCCTCCAGCCTGAGCAACACAGCGAGACCCCGTCTCTTTGAGAAAACAAGAAAAGAAAATGAGATAATGTGAGTATATTCTAACTGGTATTCCCGCCCTGGAGTCCTGTTCTCCAAGCAGAGGCACTAGTTCAGGGTGTCGCAGTTCGTTATTCTCCTGCTGTTGTGTGAAATGTCTGATCTGAGGTCCCCTGAGCAGAGCTCCTTCACCACCCCTGGAGGGAGGGGCCCTAATTCCTGCTGGGGCCTAGTGGACGGCACACAGAGCGAAGGGCTGGGTGGCGGCCAGTGTGTTCAGGAAGGGCCGTGCGCAGAAGGCAGGGCAGGGAGCCCACAGCCTAAGGAGCAAGTGAGCTCCACCTACACGGTAGCCATTATGTCCAAAGTAAACATAAAAACAAACCAAAAGCCAGTGTAGAGGCCCATCTTTGGCCTCCCCCGAACTCTTGCTTCCTTGAAGGTTACAGACTTGGGGCATCACCCTGGTGAGATAAATAAACTTAGGTGAATGGAGCATTCTGTATAGTCCTGGAGCTGCTCATACGGCTGAAAACTCAACACTGCATGATCATCAACCCCAGGGGAACTGCAGTGCTCCCAGCTCCCTTAAAGGACCCTAGTAGAGCAGAAGAAAATTAAAAGAGCAGTCTTGTGGTTAGAGGACCAGGAAGTGGCCTAGGCCAGCCCCCCACTGAAAATAGTGCCTTCTGGGGAAGGTGAGAGTTACGGGAAACCAACCTGGCAGAACTCCTGGGAGCCAGCAAGGCCACCTCCCAGTTGGGTCACCTTGAAGCCGCTGCCAGATGCAGCCTTGGTCTGAGGGGGCATCCAGCACCAACCCCTACTGGCCCCTCCCTTCTGCCCATGGACCAGTGGGCATTAGATAGGTGTTCGCTCCATACTTCCAATAACAGCATCCTTCAGTGGGAAGAGGGCTGAGAAGTCACCCAGCCCCATCTCTCAGGACGGGAGTCCCTCCTTGTGCAGATGACCCTCACAGGGCACCTGCACTGGTCTTGTCTGGTCAGCTTGCACGCCTCCATGCTCTTGTGGGCAGTGCCCTAATGTCCAGCTAGCTCTCCGCCCCTCCACCCCTCATGTGGTTGATAGATATCAGCCATGCCCGTTCCAGCTGCGGGCACAAAGCCTGTGAGTGCCAGGGGTGCCAAACTCAGGAGGAAGCCAGTGTCCTGGCAGACAGAGGAGAGAAAGAAGCCAGGTCTTTGGTGATTCTGGGCATTGAGCCACTGCATCAAGCCTTGCCTGAAGCTTACACAACTAGTAGACTGGTCCATAGCTGAGAACACTTGTACAGGTCCCTGGCTTCTGCTTTTGAAGCCTAGTGGCAAAGTACTTACTACCTCGCACAGCACTCATTCCCAGCTCTCCCGGGCCCTGAGGTCTTTTCCCATGGAAAAAGGCTGGAGGCCTCTCCCGAACTTGTCCACTAGCCTTCCATCCACATCTTTGCTCTGGCCTCTTCCCAGTGTTTCCTCCGTGGCAGGAGTAGGGGGCTGTTCACGGTCCTCTCTGACACCTGCGCAAAGCTCTGCCCTGACTCCCCACTGGGAGACCCCACTTGGGCTTTTCCTCAGCCATCTTTCCTCCTGCATGGGCCCACGGTTCCTGACACTCTCTTTCTCTCCCTCATGGCCCTGCCTGCATCCTGGCTTTTCTCCTCTTTAAATTTTTTTTTTTTTTTGAGACAGGGTCTTGCCCCGTCGCCTGGGCTAGAGTGCAGTAGCATTATCATAGCTCACTGTAGCCTCAGACTCCTGGGCTCAAGCGATCCTCCTGCCTCAGCCTCCGAGCAGCTGGGACTACAGGCTCGTGCCACCACGCTTGGCTAATTTTTCTATTTTTAGTAGAGACGGGGTCTCGCTTTTGCTCAGGCTGATCTCTAACTCCTGGCCTCAAGCAATCCTCCTGCCTCAGCCTCGAGAGTGCCAGGATTACAGACGTGAGCCCCCGCGCCTGGCCTGGCTTCCCTCTCTTGCCTCCGCCTTAGGCCTGAAGGCCCCTGGACTCAGCTGCCCAGCAGTGCTCCGAGCCAAACGGGAAAGATCCACAAGCAACTGTATGTTTGGTCTCCTGTCACTCGAGGTGCGGTTCATGGAGTGAGGGAGGCCTCTGGGTGGGAGGGTGCTGGGTGCCTTGAGCCCCTGGGGTGAACAGTGGCCTGTGCGCTGCATCTCCTTCCGTCCCCTCTCACCCAGGGGCAACTCAGTTCCCGCTGTAGGAGGCCAGCTCAGGCACACAGCGGAAGGGTGACTATCTCCAGGTCACAGCACCCCATGTGTGGGACAAGGGACTTCTCACACACCCCCAAGGACAGCTGGCCCCAGTTAGCAGGCCTGGAGCTGCTCACAGCATGGGGCAGCATCCGGGGAAAGGAGCTCTTTGGAATGATGGACTCGCCTCTCTACACAGCTCACTCACAGAGGCTGCAAGTCAAAAGTCACTAATTTCATTCCCCAGGGGCCCTCCTTGGTCCATTTGCAGGTCAAATGCTGCTGACTGAGGACTCCTGCCCAGTGTCCCCTCTCACTCAGGGACCTCTTCATTATGGGTGGGGAAGACTGGACCCATCGTGATGTGGTTAATCCTCAAAGCGCCATTTCACTTTGGAACAGCACGGGCCCCGGTGGTAATAATGTATTTGTGAGTTTATTTGCTTAATATCTGTGTCTTCCCCACTGAACCATA